TCACAGCCCCGAGCCAGTGGTGGACACTCCACATTCACATGGCGGTGGGCGAGCCTCTCCATGGGCCAACTGCTGTTGACTCGCCCACAAAGCGGTACTCAATTTACTGGCCACAGGGGGATGATAAGCTGAGTCAACCCCCCGCCCCCCCCAACTTGGATTTGAACTTGCAACATTCGGACTGCGAGCCGCTGCTGGGCTACGTGGATTTGTGGTTCTAGTGGCCAAAACCACGAGTCGAGTGGTCCACGACCAACACCGCTGGAGCATTGGTTTTGGCCACCAAGCCAGCGCTGTGCGGCAGACACCGAGAGACTCTTACAAAAGGCGTCCCTTTCCTCTGGCAATCTTGAATGACACGTACACCCACGCTCATTCGCACGCACGCTCGCTTGCTCGCGCGCACCGCAAGCACGCACGCAAATATGCACACGCGCACCGTAAACACATCACGAGCACTGCACGGCCCGCGACGCCTCGCACAATCTGCCAGGTGGTGGCACTCAAATTAACATTCGTCCCGAAAAGCCAACAGCATCAAAAGCCGGGGGACCCAGCTGCTCGACACTGATGAAGCCAGCGAACACGGAAAAAGGTTTTAATATTTCCCATCTAATCCGGGCTCACTTCATTTGCATTTTGGGTAAAGCAAGTCGGGGAAGGAGAATGGGTTCTGGGGAAGAAGCGTAACCCCGACATGATTGTGACAATTTCATCAAATCGCACGGCTGAACCATGCCCACCTAAGCGTTATGGGGAAGGTTACATTTCTTCATGCGATTTTGGATTGCGGGTGGATCGCGGTTCGATTTAGTTTGGATTACGAGTGGATGGCAGTTGGATGGCAGTTGGATGGCAGTTGGATTGTGGGTGCATTGTGGGCAGATTGCGGTTAGACTGCAGGTGGATTGCAGTTGGATTTCGCAAGTGGATTGAAAAATTGCACTGCGGGTGAATTGCAGTTGCATTGCAGGTGGATTGCGATTGGATTTCTCTTAAATTTCGTTTGGACTGCACGTGGATTGCAGTTGAATTGCGGTTGGATTTCGGTTCGATTGCAGTTTGGGCAGCATGACTGTCCACTCCATTGGCAACCACCAACACCGCCACCAGCTCTTGCGCGTGCCTTCTTAAAACGCACAGCGATAGCAGGGGGGCATCTCAGAATGACGATGACGATGATAATGACTGCTGCATGAGATGGCAGATGCACAAACGAGATTAAGAGTCTGCCATGGGAAAAGCGGGAGTCTACAATAAAACAAAATAATTCGCTAAACTATTCCATCTCTTAGCCGCTAATGCAGCTGAATGCAATGCAGGCAAGGTTCACTGCCAATTGGGGGTCGTTTTATTGTTGTGGGCGCGTGTGTGTGTGCGTGTGTGTGTGTGCCTCGTGCAGCGGTTAGCGCACTGCGCTACGAACCTGGCGACCCGAGTTTGAATCCCGCTCACGGCCAACACCAGTGACGATTATCTGAACCGGTTCTGCGGCTCCCCTAGGTCGACTCAGCCTCAAATGAGTACCTGGTGTGGTGTGTAAACATCGCCACTGGGGAGACAAAGGCGGCCGGGCGTGGTGCTGGCCACCCACCCTCTCGTGTTCCTTACCGGCCTTCATAGGTGCTCGCTGACAGCACTTGCCCCAATAGTCTGTTAAAGGCTATACGGGGAGGACCTTTTGTCTGTGTTGTGGTTTGCATGCGCGTACATTTCCTTATTTAGGATTATTCACTCAGGAAAGCCTCGCCGAGTCTCAAGACTCTTTTCCAGGAGGGTCATTCCAAGTTTACACAGCAGCGGAGCTGTGTTGTTGTTGTTGCTATTGCTGCTGCTGCGTAATCCCCATTGAGAAACGTGCAGGTTATGTATGTAACGTTGGGATGTTTTTTTGGCCAACACCGGTTACGTTGTATGGTTTTCTTTTAGCTGTGGGAGGACGAGGATACTGGACAATGCAGAGTAAACCCATGCAGAACAACGCAGAGAAGCGCCCGAGTGAGGAGTGCTTCTGCGAGGCGCGAGTGTCACCACTGCGCCAGCCTGCCGCCCTAATGATGGAACCTGCCAGGTCCGGCCAGGACTCACTGCGTGGAAGGAAACCAGCGGAGTGTGCCACAAGACGGGGGGGGGGGGGCTATGAGACACCGATTCGTCGACCGGTATCGATTCGTAGGATCGTGATGCTCGAATTGGGTCGAGTGCGTGAGAACCAATGCTTTGCTCTGAAGCAGGGCTATTTCCCGAAACATCGGCAGTTAGATTTTTACAGGGAAGGGTTCGCGGGGAGAGTTCACGGGGGGGAGAGTTCGCGGGGGGGGAGAGTTCGCGGGGGGGGAGAGTTCGCGGGGGGGAGAGTTCGCGGGAAGAGTTCGCAGGAAGGGTTCGTGGGGAGAGTTCGTGGGGAGAGTTCGTGGGGAGAGTTCGTGGGGAGAGTTCGTGTCGAGAGTTCGCGGGGGGGAGAGTTTGTGGGGAGAGTTCGTGGGGAGAGTTCGGGGGGAGAGTTCGTGGGGAGAGTTCGTGGGGAGAGTTCGCGGGAAGAGTTCGCGGGGAGAGTTCGTGGGGAGAGTTCTCGGGGAGAGTTCGCAGGAAGGGTTCGTGGGGAGAGTTCGTGGGGAGAGTTCGTGGGGAGAGTTCGTGGGGAGAGTTCGCGGGAAGAGTTCGCGGGGAGAGTTCGTGGGGAGAGTTCTCGGGGAGAGTTCGGGGGGAGAGTTCGTGGGGAGAGTTCATGGGGAGAGTTCGAGGGGAGAGTTCGTGGGGAGAGTTCGCGGGGGGGAGAGTTCGTGGGGAGAGTTCTCGAGGAGAGTTCGCGGGGAGAGTTCGTGGGGAGAGTTCGCAGGAAGAGTTCGCAGGAAGGGTTCGTGGGGAGAGTTCGTGGGGAGAGTTCGTGGGGAGAGTTCGTGGGGAGAGTTCGTGGGGAGAGTTCGCGGTAAGAGTTCGCGGGGAGAGTTCGCGGGGAGAGTTCGCGAGGAGAGTTCGCGGGGAGAGTTCGCGGGGAGAGTTCGCGGGGAGAGTTCGCGGGGGGGAGAGTTCGCGGGGGGGAGAGTTCGCGGGGAGAGTTCGTGGGGAGAATTCGTGGGGAGAGTTCACGGTAAGAGTTTGCGGGGAGAGTTCGCGGGGAGAGTTCGCGAGGAGAGTTCAAGGGGAGAGTTCGCGGGGAGAGTTCGCGGGGAGAGTTCGTGGGGAGAGTTCGCGGGGGGGGAGAGTTCGCGGGGAGAGTTTGCGGGGAGAGTTCGTGGGGAGAGTTCGCGGGGGGGAGAGTTCGCGGGGAGAGTTCGCGGGGAGAGTTCGCGGGGAGAGTTCGCGGGGGGGAGAGTTCGCGGGGAGAGTTCACGGGGGGGAGAGTTCGCGGGGAGAGTTCGTGGGGAGAGTTCGCGGGGAGAGTTCGAGGGGAGAGTTCGTGGGGAGAGTTCGTGGGGAGAGTTCGCGGGGGGGAGAGTTCGCGGGGAGAGTTCGCGGGGAGAGTTCGTGGGGAGAGTTCGCGGGGAGAGTTCGCGGGGGGGAGAGTTCGCGGGGAGAGTTCGCGGGGGGGAGAGTTCGCGGGGAGAGGTCGTGGGGAGAGTTCGCGGGGAGAGTTCGCGGGGAGAGTTCGTGGGGAGAGTTCGTGGGGAGAGTTCGCGGGGGGGGAGAGTTCGTGGGGAGAGTTCGTGGGGGGGAGAGTTCGCGGGGAGAGTTCTCGGGGAGAGTTCGTGGGGAGAGTTCGCGGGGGGGAGAGTTCGTGGGGAGAGTTCGCGGGGGGGAGAGTTCTCGGGGAGAGTTCGCGGGGAGAGTTCGCGGGGGGGAGAGTTCGTGGGGAGAGTTCGTGGGGAGGGTTCGCGGGGAGAGTTCGCGGGGAGAGTTCGTGGTGGGGAGAGTTCGTGGGGAGAGTTCGCGGGGGGGAGAGTTCTCGGGGAGAGTTCGCGGGGAGAGTTCGCGGGGGGGAGAGTTCGTGGGGAGAGTTCGTGGGGAGGGTTCGCGGGGAGAGTTCGCGGGGAGAGTTCGTGGTGGGGAGAGTTCGTGGGGAGAGTTCGTGGGGAGAGTTCGTGGGGAGGGTTCGTGGGGAGAGTTCGTGGGGAGAGTTCGTGGGGAGAGTTCACGGGGAGAGTTCGCGGGGAGAGTTCACGGGGAGAGTTCGTGGGGAGAGTTCGTGGGGAGAGTTCGTGGGAAGAGTTCGTGGGGGGAGTTCGTGGGGAGAGTTCGTGGGGAGAGTTCACGGGGAGAGTTCGTGGGAAGAGTTCGTGGGGAGAGTTCGCGGGGAGAGTTCGTGGTGGGGAGAGTTCGTGGGGAGAGTTCGTGGGGGGGAGAGTTCGCGGGGAGAGTTCGCGGGGAGAGTTCGTGGTGGGGAGAGTTCGTGGGGAGAGTTCGCGGGGAGAGTTCGTGGTGGGGAGAGTTCGCGGGGAGAGTTCGTGGTGGGGAGAGTTCGTGGGGAGAGTTCGCGGGGGGGAGAGTTCGCGGGGAGAGTTCGCGGGGAGAGTTCGTGGTGGGGAGAGTTCGCGGGGAGAGTTCGTGGTGGGGAGAGTTCGTGGGGAGAGTTCGCGGGGGGGAGAGTTCGCGGGGAGAGTTCGCGGGGAGAGTTCGTGGTGGGGAGAGTTCGCGGGGAGAGTTCGTGGTGGGAAGAGTTCGTGGGGAGAGTTTGCGGGGGGGAGAGTTCGCGGGGAGAGTTCGCGGGGAGAGTTCGTGGGGAGAGTTCGCGGGGAGAGTTCGTGGTGGGGAGAGTTCGCGGGGAGAGTTCGTGGTGGGGAGAGTTCGTGGGGAGAGTTCGCGGGGGGGAGAGTTCGCGGGGAGAGTTCGCGGGGAGAGTTCGTGGGAGAGTTCGTGGGGAGAGTTCGTGGGGGGGAGAGTTCGCGGGGAGAGTTCGTGGGGAGAGTTCGTGGGGAGAGTTCGTGGGGAGAGTTCGTGGGGAGAGTTCGCGGGGGGGAGAGTTCGCGGGGGGGAGAGTTCGTGGTGGGGAGAGTTCGCGGGGGGGAGAGTTCGTGGTGGGGAGAGTTCGCGGGGGGGAGAGACGCGGGAAGCGAGCTCACCCTGCAGGGAGTTGTGGGACACGTCGATGGAGCGCAGGCTCGGCGTGGCGGTGAGGGTATCCGGGAAGGTCACAAAGCAGTTCCTGGAGATATTGATGAAGTGCAGCTCGGTCAGGGAGGCCACCGCATCCGGCAGCGACTTGAGTTGGTTGCCCTGCAGGTGCAGCTCTGACAAAATATGAAAATAAAACAAAGCATCATCAGCATCGCCTTCGACACCGCCGACTTAAAAAGTATAATCACGCCCTCGAAGTGCTCTCGTTACCCACACTTTACCCCGCGACATACGACCTACCGATCGAGTTAACTGCGGGGCACCCATTCATGGCGGGGGGATTTTGGAAAGTTGCCGCGTTGTTTCAACTGCCGTGCCAGGAGATGGGAGTCGAACCGGCGACCAGTGCGCTCCGCAACTCTGTTCACAACCACCGTCATCCCCGCCCGCCCCCATCGCCCATAACAAACTGCGTAGCGCACGGCACCATGATTCATCACGGACCACGCACTTTGGACTCTTAAAACAAATAACCTCAACACCAGCAGATTTTCATAATTCCTATCGAGGTTTTAACTTTGTGTGTATATTTATTCCGGGAACAGGAAGCGGCAACGCATTAGAATCGCAGCGCCGTCGCCGGGGGAGAGGAAGAGGAAAGGGCACGCACGCGTGGGCGCGTTGTCGGGGTGGGGTGGGGTGTAGGGAGGGGGTCGTGCTGCACCCTTTGTGCGCTCTGTGGGTTATAACGCAAGAGACGCCGGGGACGCGACGACCCGACGCGAGTCTTACTCTCGCGAAACGCGGGGCAAACTGCCGCGCGGGGCAAACTGCCGCGCGGGTCAAACTGCCGCGCGGGTCAAACTGCCGCGCGGGGCAAACTGCCGCGCGGGGCAAACTGCCGCGCGGGTCAAACTGCCGCGCGGGTCAAACTGCCGCGCGGGGCAAACTGCCGCGCGGGGCAAACTGCCGCGCGGGGCAAACTGCCGCGCGGGTCAAACTGCATCGCGGGGCAAACTGCCGCGCGGGGCAAACTGCCGCGCGGGGCAAACTGCCGCGCGGGTCAAACTGCCGCGCGGGTCAAACTGCCGCGCGGGTCAAACTGCCGCGCGGGGCAAACTGCCGCGCGGGGCAAACTGCCGCGCGGGTCAAACTGCCGCGCGGGTCAAACTGCCGCGCGGGTCAAACTGCCGCGCGGGGCAAACTGCCGCGCGGGGCAAACTGCCGCGCGGGTCAAACTGCCGCGCGGGTCAAACTGCCGCGCGGGGCAAACTGCCGCGCGGGGCAAACTGCCGCGCGGGTCAAACTGCCGCGCGGGTCAAACTGCCGCGCGGGTCAAACTGCCGCGCGGGGCAAACTGCCGCGCGGGGCAAACTGCCGCGCGGGTCAAACTGCCGCGCGGGTCAAACTGCCGCGCGGGTCAAACTGCCGCGCGGGTCAAACTGTCGCGCGGGGCAAAACGATTGCCGTATTCTCCCCGGGTTGCGACGCGCGCAAAATTCTCCCGGTGTTACAAAGGAAAAAAGTTGCCGGTGCGTCACGCAGCCCGGCACGCGCGAGCGTGTGCGCGCGATACCAGATTTGTGGGGAGCGGCGGCGCGGTGGTTAGCGCCACGCTGCGCTACAAACCCGGCGACCCGACTTCGATTCCCGCTCACGGCCAACGCCTGTGACGATTATATGTATCGGTCCTGGGCCTCCCCTAGGTCGACTCAGCCTTAAATGAGTGCCTTGTGCAACGTGTAAACATTGCCACTGGGGAGACAACGGCGGGCGGACTTGGTGTTAGCCACCCAGCCCCTCGTGTGCCGTGCTGACCAAAATTGGTGCTCCCTAACAGAACTTCCCCCAAAAGTATCTTAAGGGTATGAGGGGGATCTTTTGTCTTTGCTTTTGTGTTCCCAGATTGGCGTAACTTAATTCGCACTGAGCACAAGATCGAGGTACGCCTTACTCTACAAAGGGAAGTATAATCTGCAAAACGGGCTAGTTGCACCACCTTTCTGGGTGGGGTTTGTACATTCTCTCTCCCCCAGTTCTGCATGAGTCTCCCTCTGGGTTCTCCCGTTTCTTCCCATAGCGACCAAAATAAAGTCAAACAATGTCACTGGAATTGGCAAAGAATTATCCAAAGAGCTGAAAACATGACCTGCAAATTTCTCAATTGGGATTATACATAGCAGCAGCATCGCCCCCGCTCCCCCCCCCCTCCCAATTGCAAACATTTGGCAGGACCCTCCTGAAAGAGTCTCGAGGCTCTCCTTGTTGGGTGAACGAGCGGAGCACCACGGCAGCACCCGCCGTACCATGCAGGCGGGAGAAGGTGCTTAGGAAGTTTCTGGGCAGCGACTTGAGCATGTTGTCGGCCAGAGATGCGACCCGGACGTCGTCCGCGACTTCCGCCAGCATCACGTTCACCGCCACGGGCACGGTCGTCATCTCGCACGCAGACAGGTCTACAAAGACAAAGATCCGCCGTATAGCCTTAACAGGCTGTTGGGGCAAGTGCTGTTAGCGAGCAGCACCTGTGAAGGCCGGCACGGCACACGAGGGGGTGGGTGGCCAGCAACACCCCCAGCCGCCTTTGTCTCCCTGATGGCGATGTTTATACACTGCATTAGGTACTCATTTGAGGCTGAGTCGACCTAGGGGAGGTACAGGACCAGTTCAGATAATCGTAACTCGCGTTGGCTGTTATCGGTAATCGAACTCGGGTTACTGGCTTCGTAACGCAGCGCGCTGCTACGCTGAACACGCAGACACAGAGACACGCTCACCATCTCACACAACGACTGGTCGACACGGAAACACACAGACACACTGAGCCACTAGCATGCTCAGGAATTGAGCATTGAGGGGGTGCTCATCTCCTGTTTATATCCCAGATCTAGTTGTGGAAGTTCCACGTTCCTACGACGGGGGCGAGTAACCCCATAAGACAACCACTGCAGACTTCGACACAAGTACTGTACTGCGAGTACATCAGTACGGAGTAAAAAAAAAAGACAGTGCTGACGAAACAGGCAATACACATGAAACAGGCGGTATACAGCACAAAGGAAACAATACCATTTTTAATAATATTTAATCTTTAAGCGAATTGTGTTTGGATTGATGTCATCCGGCAGGTGTCGCGTGAATTTGAGCTGCAGATCCTGAGGCTCTGCTGCCCTCTGGCAGTCGAGTGTTGCCACTACATCGATTCAAAGACCCATATCTAACAGATGGTCGGGTCTTACAAATATTTGGCAGTTCATCAGCATTGGTTTAAAGCAGCCTGACTCTTGCTGATGAGACACTGAATATCGAAACCGGTCCAGAGTTTTCCTTGTATTAAATCAATTCTTGTGAAAAAAAAACGATTCCATGTGTAGCTGACAGCCGTGTTCGTTATAAATATTAATGATAGCAAGATTGAAATTTGCAGAAAGGCTTATGTGCAGGTTTATTTTGAGCAAACTGTTGTCGAGAACATTTCACGTAATCTCTGTGAACATTTATTCTCACGCTCGGGCAACCGAATGTTTTATGGTTGATGCAAATTACGTGCAAATTCTATGTGCAGATCGTTAACTTTGTATTGTGCTAAGAAACCGGCGACCCAAATAACTGGGTTCCATCTCTTCCTTCCCATAATAATGTTTCTCACCAAATTTGAATGTCACATTCTCTCCTGTGGAAAAGCCTAAGGCAATGATCCAATTCACCACCCAACAGTGGTAACAATCGACCCTGTGTGACCCTGTGACCCAGTCACCATCTGACCCTGCATGACCCAGGGACCCTGGGTGATCCCGAGTGACTGAAGAGTAATCATTGAGGCCGAGTGACCCCGCGTGTCCCAGAGTGACCCAGAGTGACCACTGACCGATAGAGTCTCTGTGCTCCTCCAGGGTCTCCCTCAGCCTCTGCACCACACGTACCACTCCGGCAGCCATCGTGTCCGGCAGAGATGCGGCGACCTGGGGGCCGGGAGTCCAGAACGTTCTCTACGATTAGTCAATCTAACATTAGTTAATGGGGCGCCACGGTGGCGAGATGTTAACTACCTCGCCTCGTATACAGGAGGTCGAGGGTTGATCCCGACCCTGACGCCTGTTGTATATTTGGAGTTCGCAGCGTCTCTCTCTCTCCCCCGTGGTCGCGTGGATTTTTTCTACGGGGCCTCAGATTTTTCCCTTCACATTTAGAATAAACGTGCGTTCAGAGTATTTGGCTGATATAAATATACACGTGATGAGCCACTTCGTTGAGCTATCATTTGTGGTCAAGTCGCTTAAAAAAAATAGCTATATAGCTCAGTGGGCCTTATTTGGTAAAATATATATTTTTTATTTAAAGCTTTCGTGACTGCAGGGATTAAAATTCTTGGTTCTTTCGGTAAAGTCACGTAGAATGGAAAGAATAAAATAATAAAAATATAAAACAATAAAATTCTCACGACGTTTCGACTGCAACACAAGCAATCATCATCAGGTGTGTAAACCACAGCAAGAACATTTTACAAATTTTCTTGCTGTGGTTTTCAGCAATCATCATCAGGTGTGTAAACCACAGCAAGAACATTTTTCAAATTTTCTTGCTGTGGTTTTCACACCTGATGATGATTGCTTGTGTTGCAGTCGAAACGTCGTGAGAATTTTATTGTTTTATATTTTTATTATTTTATTCTTTCCCTTCTACGTGACTTTACCGAAAGAACCAAGAATATAAAATATAGTTTATTTTTTAGTTCAATTAAGCCAATGAATCAACGAAAAAATGGAAGCAATCACTTTTTTTAGGTCAATTACTCACTCAGATCCTGACATTCTGCCGCCCGAATGCTGGAAACCCCCTGAAAACCACCGCCAGTGTGACACGCCTTAAGATGTTGAAGATGTCACCAAGCCACGCCCATCACCACCCGTCCAGTGGCACACGTGCAAACTGAAGTGAGATAGTTTTTTTTTACCTTCCCCCCACCCCTCAACTACATTCACGTTATGCTTTTAGTTGCGTAACTGAGCCGATCATCGGTGAAGTTGTCGATTGCTACCGAGTGATGGATGCCACGGGTTGTCAGCCCACATACTGGACGGTGGGTGTCAAGGGTTCTTCACACCGCATGCCCCATCCTCACGTTCTTTACAAATGGATTATAACAGAATGGATTAAAAAAGGCAAAACACGACTTCACAAATACGAATTACATGAGCCGATTGGTTTAAGTTTAAAAAAAAAATGCTTTAACACGGTTATTTTTAAAAAAAAAGTTTCACGTGTTTATATTTTGAATAATAAGGCTGTGGTCGTTTAAGTGGGGCACCGCCCCGGTATTATTAAATTACCTTTCCATTGATTGATATTTTACCACCCCTGCACGAAGCCCATGCACGCGACTGTCAAATGAACGCGACGAGATCGTTAGGGTTCAGCCATCGTCGACGTTTCGACGATGCGTCCATAACAAATGCGTCCGTAACAAAGATCCCCCGTATAGCCTTCAACAGACTGTTGGGGCAAGTGCTGTTCGCGAGGAGCACCACTGTAGCACTACCACCATCACCCTCACTGTAGTACTACCACCATCACCCCCACTGTAGCACTACCACCATCACCCTCACTGTAACACTACCACCATCACCCCCACTGTAACACTACCACCCTCACCCTCACTGTAACACTACCACCATCACCCTCACTGTAGCACTACCACCATCACCCTCACTGTAACACTACCACCCTCACCCTCACTTTAACACTACCACCATCACCCTCACTGTAACACTACCACCATCACCCTCACTGCAGTACTACCACCATCACCCTCACTGTAGTACTACCACCATGACCCCCACTGTAGCACTACCACCATCACCCTCACTGTAACACTACCACCCTCACCCTCACTTTAACACTACCACCATCACCCTCACTGTAACACTACCACCATCACCCTCACTGTAACACTACCACCATCACCCCCACTGTAACACTACGACCCTCACCCTCACTGTAACACTACCACCATCACCCCCACTGTAGCACTACCACCATCACCCTCACTGTAGCACTACCATCACCCTCACTGTAACACTACCACCATCACCCTCACTGTAGCACTACCACCATCACCCCCACTGTAGCACTACCACCATCACCCTCACTGTAGCACTACCACCATCACCCTCACTGTAGTACTACCACCATCACCCTCACTGTAACACTACCACCATCACCCCCACTGTAACACTACCACCATCACCCCCACTGTAACACTACCACCATCACCCCCACTGTAGCACTACTACCATCACCCTCACTGTAACACTACCACCATCACCCCCACTGTAACACTACCACCATCACCCTCACTGTAACTCTACCACCATCACCCCCACTGTAACACTACCACCATCACCCTCACTGTAACACTACCACCATCACCCTCACTGTAACACTACCACCATCACCCCCACTGTAGCACTACCACCATCACCCCCACTGTAGCACTACCACCATCACCCTCACTGTAGAACTACCACCATCACCCTCACTGTAGCACTACAACCATGACCCCCACTGTAACACTACCACCATCACCCTCACTGTAACACTACCACCATCACCCTCACTGTAGCACTACTACCATCACCCTCACTGAAACACTATCACCATCACCCTCACTGTAGCACTACCACCATCACCCCCACTGTAGCACTACCACCATCACCCTCACTGTAGCACTACCACCATCACCCTCACTGTAGCACTACCACCATCACCCTCACTGTAGCACTACCACCATCACCCCCACTGTAGCACTACCACCATCACCCTCACTGTAGCACTACCACCATCACCCCCACTGTAGCACTACCACCATCACCCTCACTGTAGCACTACCACCATCACCCTCACTGTAACACTACCACCATCACCCTCACTGTAACACTACCACCATCACCCCCACTGTAACACTACCACCATCACCCTCACTGTAACACTACCACCATCACCCTCACTGTAGCACTACCACCATCACCCCCACTGTAACACTACCACCATCACCCCCACTATAGCACTACCACCATCACCCTCACTGTAGCACTACCACCATCACCCCCACTGTAACACTACCACCATCACCCTCACTGTAACACTACCACCATCACCCCCACTGTAGCACTACCACCATCACCCTCACTGTAGCACTACCACCATCACCCCCACTGTAACACTACCACCATCACCCTCACTGTAACACTACCACCATCACCCTCACTGTAACACTACCACCATCACCCCCACTGTAGCACTACCACCATCACCCTCACTGTAACACTACCACCATCACCCCCACTGTAACACTACCACCATCACACTCACTGTAACACTACCACCATCACCCCCACTGTAGCACTACCACCATCACCCTCACTGTAGCACTACCACCATCACCCTCACTGTAACACTACCACCATCACCCTCACTGTAACACTACCACCATCACCCTCACTGTAGCACTACCACCATCACCCTCACTGTAACACTACCACCATCACCCCCACTGTAACACTACCACCATCACCCTCACTGTAACACTACCACCATCACCCCCACTGTAGCACTACCACCATCACCCTCACTGTAACACTACCACCATCACCCCCACTGTAACACTACCACCATCACCCTCACTGTAACACTACCACCATCACCCCCACTGTAGCACTACCACCATCACCCTCACTGTAGCACTACCACCATCACCCCCACTGTAACACTACCACCATCACCCTCACTGTAACACTACCACCATCACCCTCACTGTAACACTACCACCATCACCCCCACTGTAGCACTACCACCATCACCCTCACTGTAACACTACCACCATCACCCCCATTGTAACACTACCACCATCACACTCACTGTAACACTACCACCATCACCCCCACTGTAGCACTACCACCATCACCATCACTGTAGCACTACCACCATCACCCTCACTGTAACACTACCACCATCACCCTCACTGTAACACTACCACCATCACCCTCACTGTAGCACTACCACCATCACCCTCACTGTAACACTACCACCATCACCCCCACTGTAACACTACCACCATTACCCTCACTGTAGCACTACCACCATCATCCCCACTGTAACACTACCACCATCACCCTCACTGTAACACTACCACCATCACCCTCACTGTAGCACTACCACCATCACCCTCACTGTAGCACTACCACCATCACCCTCACTGTAACACTACCACCATCACCCTCACTGTAGCACTACCACCATCACCCTCACTGTAACACTACCACCATCACCCCCACTGTAACTCTACCACCATCACCCCCACTATAGCACTACCACCATCACCCTCACTGTAGCACTACCACCATCACCCCCACTGTAACACTACCACCATCACCCTCACTGTAACACTACCACCATCACCCCCACTGTAGCACTACCACCATCACCCTCACTGTAGCACTACCACCATCACCCCCACTGTAACACTACCACCATCACCCTCACTGTAACACTACCACCATCACCCTCACTGTAACACTACCACCATCACCCCCACTGTAGCACTACCACCATCACCCTCACTGTAACACTACCACCATCACCCCCACTGTAACACTACCACCATCACACTCACTGTAACACTACCACCATCACCCCCACTGTAGCACTACCACCATCACCCTCACTGTAGCACTACCACCATCACCCTCACTGTAACACTACCACCATCACCCTCACTGTAACACTACCACCATCACCCTCACTGTAGCACTACCACCATCACCCTCACTGTAACACTACCACCATCACCCCCACTGTAACACTACCACCATCACCCTCACTGTAACACTACCACCATCACCCCACTGTAGCACTACCACCATCACCCTCACTGTAACACTACCACCATCACCCCCACTGTAACACTACCACCATCACCCTCACTGTAACACTACCACCATCACCCCCACTGTAGCACTACCACCATCACCCTCACTGTAGCACTACCACCATCACCCCCACTGTAACACTACCACCATCACCCTCACTGTAACACTACCACCATCACCCTCACTGTAACACTACCACCATCACCCCCACTGTAGCACTACCACCATCACCCTCACTATAACACTACCACCATCACCCCCATTGTAACACTACCACCATCACACTCACTGTAACACTACCACCATCACCCCACTGTAGCACTACCACCATCACCATCACTGTAGCACTACCACCATCACCCTCACTGTAACACTACCACCATCACCCTCACTGTAACACTACCACCATCACCCTCACTGTAGCACTACCACCATCACCCTCACTGTAACACTACCACCATCACCCCCACTGTAACACTACCACCATTACCCTCACTGTAGCACTACCACCATCATCCCCACTGTAACACTACCACCATCACCCTCACTGTAACACTACCACCATCACCCTCACTGTAGCACTACCACCATCACCCTCACTGTAGCACTACCACCATCACCCTCACTGTAACACTACCACCATCACCCTCACTGTAGCACTACCACCATCACCCTCACTGTAACACTACCACCATCACCCTCACTGTAACACTACCACCATCACCCCCACTGTAGCACTACCACCATCACCCTCACTGTAACACTACCACCATCACCCCCACTGTAACACTACCACCATCACACTCACTGTAACAATACCACCATCACCCCCACTGTAGCACTACCACCATCACCCTCACTGTAGCACTACCACCATCACCTCACTGTAACACTACCACCATCACCCTCACTGTAACACTACCACCATCACCCTCACTGTAGCACTACCACCATCACCCTCACTGTAACACTACCACCATCACCCCCACTGTAACACTACCACCATTACCCTCACTGTAGCACTACCACCATCATCCCCACTGTAACACTACCACCATCACCCTCACTGTAACACTGCCACCATCACCCTCACTGTAGCACTACCACCATCACCCTCACTGTAGCACTACCACCATCACCCTCACTGTAACACTACCACCATCACCCTCACTGTAGCACTACCACCATCACCCTCACTGTAACACTACCACCATCACCCCCACTGTAACACTACCACCATCACCCTCACTGTAGCACTACCACCATCATCCCCACTGTAACACTACCACCATCACCCTCACTGTAACACTACCACCATCACCCTCACTGTAGCACTACCACCATCACCCCCACTGTAACACTACCACCATCACCCCCACTGTAACACTACCACCATCACCCTCACTGTAGCACTACCACCATCATCCCCACTGTAACACTACCACCATCACCCTCACTGTAGCACTACCACCATCACCCTCACTGTAACACTACCACCATCACCCCCACTGTAACACTACCACCATCACCCCCACTGTAACACTACCACCATCACCCTCACTGTAACACTACCACCATCACCCTCACTGTAACACTACCACCATCACCCTCACTGTAACACAACCACCATCACCCCCACTGTAACACTACCACCATCACCCCCACTGTAACACTACCACCATCACCCTCACTGTAACACTACCACCATCACCCCCACTGTAACACTACCACCATCACCCCCACTGTAACACTACCACCATCACCCTCACTGTAACACTACCACCATCACCCTCACTGTAACACTACCACCATCACCCTCACTGTAACACAACCACCATCACCCCCACTGTAACACTACCACCATCACCCCCACTGTAACACTACCACCACCACCCTCACTGTAACACTACCACCATCACCCCCACTGTAACACTACCACCATCACCCCCACTGTAACACAACCACCATCACCCCCACTGTAACACTACCACCATCACCCCCACTGTAACACTACCACCATCACCCTCACTGTAACACTACCACCATCACCCCCACTGTAGCACTACCACCATCACCCCCACTGTAACACTACCACCATCACCCTCACTGTAACACTACCACCATCACCCTCACTGTAACACTACCACCATCACCCCCAAGGTAACGAAAGATCGCTGCACACGACGCCACCATAAGACGCACACCATGCCCGGTGGACAAGGCCGTACACACGACACGACCACTACCAACAAGGCAGGCCACACAGAAGCGACTTTCGACGCAACACCATTAACGCCACCGGCCAACGAGAGTCTGCCCCGTAACGAAAGCCCCGGCAGCCATCCACACGGCAACCGGTCACGACACCCACCGGCACCCACGAACTCGTGCAGGGAGCAGAGAGACTTCGACGCCGCAACTCGACACGCAGGGGGCTTGGGGAGGAGAGGGAGGAAGGGGAGACTCGTCTTGTCCGTGCAGACGAAGGACGCGGCTGGGACTCCTCCTGTACGGTGTTGGTGAGCCGTGGAGGAGGGTGGTGAGGAGGGGTGAGGGAGGAGGAAGGGGGTGAGGGTGGTGAGGAAGGGGGTGAGGGAGTTGGAGGAAGGGGGTGAGGTCGGATGAGAAGGGGGTGAGGGAGGAGGATGAGAAGGAAGGGGGTGAGCGAGGAGGAGGAGGAAGGGGGTGAGGGATGAGGAGGAAGGGGGTGAGGGATGAGGAGGAGGAAGGGGGTGAGGGATGAGGAGGAAGGGGGTGAGTGAGGAGGCTGAGTTACCCGCCTCGGCCAGCAGGGCGCTGTTGCCCGTGATGACAGAATTAGACCGGGACAAGGGGTCATCACATTTCTCTCCGGTCTAATTTTAAAGTCTCAAGCACTGCGATGGCGGTGGGGAGCTGGGGCGGTGTAGTTTACAACTTTGGTAATTATCTGCGGGTAGTTCGTCAAACTCGGCGGAGCATGGAGCCACTCGCTGCACGTGGCCGTTCTCTGGCGAATTACGCCACGGAATCTTTAACGCGCACGGTTAAGGGGTCGTCCATAAATGACGTCACGCGATTTTGGACGATTTTGACCCCCCCTAAATTATGACGTCACAAAGCTCTCCTCCCCCCCCCCCCATAAAATAAAACGTGCTTCAAATCGCTTTAAACTAGTGTCATTGTAGTGCGTATTTAATGTGGCGCTGCACTCTGATGTTGTAGGAGAAAATATTTATTAAAAAGTCTATTTAATTAAGTAGAACGTGTTGTCTATATTTATTTAAAGTTGCGCATTTTGACGTGACGTCACACATCGTCACAAATGTCTGACCCCCCACCCACCCCCCATGTGCGTGACGTCATTAATGGACGGCCCCTAAGCAGACGGCGAGTAGTTACGACTTTGTATGGTTAATACTCCCGCAGTGATAACTAGGGTGGCCGCTGGATTCGAACCTCGAATCTCTGCGTCAAACGGCGAACGTCATCGTCAAGTTGTAGTGGTCGTGGCGATCTTCTTCTTGCTGATGCAGCTGCAGAGCAACGGCTACAACTTCACGTTCACGTGATCAAGCCCAGACAACCGCGGACAGGGGTTAGCGGGGTAAGTTGTAGCATCGTCGCTGCGATGTCTCCAACTACTTCTTCTTAAGGGACCGTCCATAAATGACGTCACGCACCTGGGGGGTGTCACGAGCGGGGGAGGGGAGGTTGAGAAATGTGACGTCACATCAAAATGCGCAACTTTAAATACATATAGACAACACGTTCCTCTTATATTCTTAGCTCTTTCGGTAAAGTCACGTTGAAGGGAGACAATAAAATAATAATATATATAATATATTGTTTTATATATTTTATTACTTTATTGTTTTCCTTCAACATGACTTTACCGAAAGAGCTAAGAATATGAATTACTGCAGTCACGAAAGCTTTAAATCAAAACGTTCTACTTAATTAAATAGACTTTTTTAAATAAATGTTTTCTCCTACAACATCAGATTGCAGCGCCACATTAAATACGCACTACAATGACAAAAGTTTAAAGCGATTTGAAGCATGTTTTATTTTGGGGGGGGGGGGGCAGAGCTTTGTGACGTCATATTTGAGGGGGGTCTGACTTTTTGTGACGAAGGGGGGGGGGGGTCAAGAATCGTCCAAAATTGCGTAACATCATTTATGGGCGGCCCCTTTGTGCATCGTGAGGCTGTCCGCTTCCACTGCCGTGGTTTGTGCAGCGGATGCGGTCTGGGGTGGGGGCCGTGAGCTTCGTGGGATATCAAAACCGGGGGATCTTCTGCGGTTGGGGCTTTCAGAATCAGAAAGGGTTTTATTCACCATGAAAGTTCGCACAGACAAGGAATTAACTTTGGCAGGAAGGTGCATACATTCAACATATAGGAATCTTAAATCGTGTCGACTATCGACTACAAATTTTGACTGAAAAGTTTCGTGACTGCAGGAATTCATATTCTCGGTTCCTTCGGTAAAGTCACGTAGATAGAAAATAAAAATAATAAAATAAAATTGAAATAAACCCACGACGTTTCGATCGCTTGTGTCGCGATCGAAACGCCGTGGATTTGTTTGCTTTCATTTTATTTTCAATCTTATTTTCTTTATTTTCTATCTCCGTGACTTTACCGAAAGAACCAAGAATATCGACTGTAACTGGAGTGTTTGGCAATAGGAGTCTCTCGCCAGGAGAGAAAAAAAAAGAGAGCGGCGGTGCTAGCCGCGATTCACGATGCAGACGGCGCCCCCGAATTCGAATCCCGCTCATGGGCCACCAACACCAGTGGCAATTATCATCTGAACCGGTCCTGGGCCTCCCCACCCCCTTCGGTCGACTGATACGGAGCACCCTTAAGCTAAATGATGTGCCCAGGCAAGAGGAGCCGCAGAATATACAGGGTGTTCAAAAACGATAGACCCGATTTGAAATCGCTATATCTCTGCAACCACGAACCGCCCATGAATGAAACTCTTACCACTTGAAAGGGCGGGGCATAGAGAGGGCGTGGCATAGAGAGGGCGGGGCACAGAGAGGGCGGGGCACAGATAGGGCGGGGCATAGAGTTTAAAATGATTCTAGATTTGAAGCTTTCGTGACTGCAAGGATTCATACTCGGTAAAGTCACATAGGTAAAATGATTACCGCTAGATGCCTCTCCCAGCGCACAAACAGCCCCTAGCCTCAGTCATCCGCAAGGCGGTGACTCCCGCAACACAAGGGGCGTTTTGCGTTCTGCATTTCAGCAAGACTGAATCCGTAATTGCGGGACGGCATGCGTTTCAACGGCGTCTTGGCATTGATCCGCCACTGTCAAAGAGCATTCGTCGTTGGTGCCGACAATTTGAGGAAGTTGTTTATGTAAGAGGAATAGAGCACAGGGCGACCACGCACCTCAGAGAAAAACGTGAGAAGAGAGGCGTTTGGGACGAATTCAACTCTCGTCTCGATGTTGTCCATACAGCAGGTGGAGGGCACACATAGGACATTTATAAAATGGTTAGTAAAACTTGATAACTCATTAAACCGTTTGTAACTTTTCGTGTAAGCCACTACGCCTCTGCATTCCCACTTAAACTTGAGTGATTTGAACAGAGTCGGTTTAAATGACGGAGATGGCTGAATGCAGACGCAACTGAGGTGGTTTCTCAAACTTTGGGGCAGCATTTCATTATAAATGCCTTTGGTCCAAATTGTGCGTGAAATCTGGTAACTATTAATAGACAATCAGAGGCGTGGCGCAGATTTTCAGGCTCCCCTACAATCGAGTAATTTTCATGTGATCATTATACGTGGCGAGGAGGAGGGGTCCTTTAAAAAGTGTGATGCCTGTGACGTCACCAAGCCCCGTCTGTTAACCTCCCGTCCAGCGTCACACGAGGGTGTGACACTTTAAGTGCTTGATTATCACTCATTGGTTCTTTCGGTAAAGTCACGTATGTAGAAATACAATGAAATTATATTACAACAAAACAATCACAACGTTTCAATCACAACACAAGTGATCTTCATCAGGTGTCAAGAACAAATCATGGTTCATCCCTCCAGCCCCCTATCTCTCTCCTTGCTTCTATGTCCGTCTTTCCTCCCTCCTTGCCTTTTGGTGGGCCTGTATATGTATTTCTGATGACTTTGTACCTCGTATTTGTTCACTCTATGCTGGTAAGTGCAATCCAGAAGTTGAACACGAAATTTAACACTCTTCTGAAATTCGTGGTCCGCCAGGAAGTGTCTAACTGTGTTGTTGGCCGGATTGGTTGTGCTTTACATAATGTTTCTTAGGTTTGTTGAATTCTCGTCTCTCATCTCCTTGTTGTATTTACCTCCATGATTTGTTCTTGACACCTGATGAAGATCACTTGTGTTGTGATTGAAACGTCGTGATTGTTTTGTTTTAATATAATTTTATTGTATTTCTACATACGTGACTTCACCGAAAGAACCAATGAGTGATTTTATGCAGTCACGAAAGCTTTAATGCTTGATTATCCTCGCAGAAAAAGTAGCTACACAATGCTACGAGCCCCGCACTTTCAAGCTTTCAATTCCGGTTCAGTGATTCTGCACTTGCTCTATTACTATAGTACTATACCGCCTTCAACTTTTATGAACGACTGGGTGTTTAAGGTTAGCGATTTGTCGTATTATCTGGCTGTATAGCAAATGCAAAAATACAATTACTTTACTGTGCAAGTACAAATGTTGTGTTTTAATATTTATGTGTGTTTTTAGGGCCCCTTTGTAACATATGCTAGAGGTCCCGCACGAGCTTCATCCGGCACTGGACACTTTCCCCCAACCTTGCAAACTTTACTGTGGTGGGTTTCTGTGCAATTTGCCGTGACTCCACGGGAGGGCGAATCTCCTGGTTGCTTCGTGAGCGGAATTGTTTATTTAGCACGAGCTATCGTCATTAAATCGGTGGAGAATTGCATGCGGACTTGTTTAAACTTTTTTTTCTCGGCATAAGAATAGACTTGACTCGTGCCAAAGTTCCGCTTCCTCGCTCTTCTGTAGCATCAAATTAATTTAAATCATTATCCATCTGTAAGCTAGAAATTGTTTTATTTAACGTGGTGACATCCAATTCATTAAGTTGATCCTCTAGGAATTTGCATACGTTGCTTTAAGAGGTAGCCTGAAATCAATTACCTGCTGCCCTATATATCTATTCGTTTCTCATCGTTCGTTCGTTCGTTTTATGGATCTGCTTGACCCGGTGAGGGTCGCGGTGGCAGCGTGTTGGGTAGGGCGGTCCAGTCCTCCCTTTGTCTGGCGACAGACTCAAGCTCTACATTAATATACACTATACACTACGATACACTACTACACTATATACTAGTATACACTACCACACTATGCACTACTATACACTACTACACTATTATACACTATACACTACTATACATTACTACACTATACACTACTATACGCTACTACGTTATATACTAGTATTCACTACCACACTATGCACTACTATACACTACTACACTATTATACACTACTACACTATTATACATTACTACACTATATACTACGAGACATTACTACACTATACACTAGTATACACTACAATACACGACTACACTATTATA